TTTGCAGCGTTCATGACGCGTGTAACGTTGCAGTTGCCAAAATGCCGTACGCTTTAATTAGCCCAAAGGAGGAATGGAATTTTAGAGCTGTTAAGCACTTGGTACACTGATGTAAACATCCATATTTTGGGATGAAGACTTTGTAATTTGTGAAATGGAGGCGGTAAAATGCTTTAGAAGGAACCCTATTTCTTTAACATTTTACATCATATAATGAGTGATCGTTAATAGCATAAGAATGGAAACAGTCTGTCATTAAATAAAAAGAATTGGTTTGTTCAACAGCACCTCATGGAAGGAAATGAGGTATGTGTTGCCGTTTCAAAATGGCTCTAGCAAATTTCCGCTAGTGCGAATGCTGAAAACAGCGGATTCATCAGATCACACTGGTATTCCGTTTCTTTATAACACTCAGAAAAACACTGTTCATGAAGAAACTAACCAAAGATAAGAAACAGTGTTGCTTGCCACTGCCAAAATATTCAAATGCACGCCGATGCAAAATATTCAACTGCATGGCAATTCAAATGTACTCCACTTGTATCTTACTGCCTAACGCTTCCTCTATGATATCTCTATAACCATAATTCTGAGGTTTAAGGTTTTAAGGCCTTTACTGCATCTCGCCTCATTTTATTGACTATTATAATACTCGCTTATCAAGAAGTACATTCCCGAAGCTGGAATTAGTTATACCATATTTCAGAACGTCAAAAACGTAGATTTATACTACTCAGAGTATGTTGAGGTTAATGACTTCCCACCTGAAAAGTATTTCACTGTACCCTGCCCACAGATATGCAGGAATCAACTTTAAAATTCAAACTTCAAAATGGTCACTATGATAAGTTACTCTTTAGCTAGAAGGAATGGGTATTGTCATAAAACAGTGAACTCGTTCTGCCTTCACTTATGCCCTTGTTATACTCTCAGCGTAAGAACGTTTTTGCGTGCAAAAACATACAGTGCCTACTCCTGAATATCAACCGCAATGAGAAGGTTAATACTGTAGCCAATGAACTGATGTGAGATGTATTTATGCGCGCTGATAATAAAATAGGATACAACAGCACCCTGCTTAAATGGCTCCCACTTATTATTATTCGCTCTCGTGTTTACCATATTTTATTAGGTTCGAGCTAACACATGGTATATCGTATCCATCCGTAAGCAGGGTATATCCATATTATGGTGGCGATGTTCGAGCTCAGATTACAAAATTCCAAACAGAGCAAGAAATTAACCAACCGTTGCGAATGTAGCAACTGCCAGGCGGGCGCTAAGTTGAGCGGTAGTTTCCGCTGCTGCCAGAGGACTAGTCGCAAGAGGATAACAAGGCAACTGCATTTCCCAGATTATTTCTTCAGCCACGAATCCATGTATGTTCAGTACTTGACCTGGGACCATCCCGGGGTAGTACAAGGGCGAACCTTCACGCAAATTCCAAACAGGTTCTGCGAATCAGCTTTCCATTTCATCACATCCAATATAACACATGAGACTTGGCAATGCGGGAAAACGCTATAACTTTTACTGCCAATGACTTCAAGGGCACTGCAGGCTCGTTCTGCCACAGGACATTTTTTCTCAAGTAAAACGCTGATAAATCCTTCATGATAGTAAAAATGA